CCGATGTGACGTAAAGACGATTTTTCCTTGCGACCACCGGGTGGCCCAGACGACCAGCGTGTTGCAGTCTGGGCTGCACATCGCGGCCGTACGGCGTGATCATGCGGGCCCGGGGGACCAGCGCGACGCAGTCTGGACTGCTCATCGCGGCCGTACGGCGTGATCACGCCGGGCCGGGGGATTAGCGTGACGCAGTCTGGACTGCTCATCACGGCCGTACGGCGTGGTCACGCCTGCCCGGGGGACCAGCGTGACGCAGTCTGGGCTGCTCGTCGCGGCCGTGGTCACATCGGCCCGGGGGACCAGCGTGACGCGGGCTGGGCTGCTCATCTCGGCCGTACGGCGTGATCATGCGGGCCCGGAGGACCAGCGCGACGCAGTCTGGACTGCTCATCGTGGCCGTACGGCGTGATCATGCGGGCCCGGGGGACCAGCGTGACGCAGTCTGGGCTGCGCGTCGCGGCCGTGGTCACATCGGCCCGGAGGACCAGCGCGACGCAGTCTGGACTGCTCATCGTGGCCGTACGGCGTGATCATGCGGGCCCGGGGGACCAGCGTGACGCAGTCTGGACTGCTCATCACGGCCGTACGGCGTGGTCACGCATGCCCGGCGGACCAGCGTGACGCAGTCTGGGCTGCGCGTCGCGGCCGTGGTCACACCGGCCCGGGGAACCAGCGTGACGCGGGCTGGGCTGCTCATCTCGGCTGTGTGGCGTGGTCACGCCCTCCCGAGGGACCAGCGTGACGTGGGCCAGGCGGTAAACATCAATAATCACCGACGCGCGGTCAGCCGGAGCCGACCGCCATAAATCACCCACGGTCAAAATAGCTTCTCCTCCCCTTGTTCCGCTCCTCACCCAACCGTGCTATATCTGCATCCACCCACATTGACCAGAGGCCAGGTCGAACCAACTAAATGGGCGCCTCAGCCGACTCGGCACAGCTGACCCAGGATAACCCGGTGGACCCAGGATGATTCGGTGGACACTTGAATGAAACACAAAGAGATGCACCAGTTGTACAGTTACCGTCGTTCCGGCGAAAAAGAAAGGCATCCCAGATATAAATCATTCTCTGCACCCCGTTTGGCTATACACAGTGCTACGCGCATGCCACTTTAACGTTAAACATAGTAACGCCCACAAACTTCTCAAGAACGCAACATATGTGGCTCGACACTCACAGTGACTTAGCAGGCAGGTAGGGACCAAACACTGTCGGGCCCCGCGCGCAGGTACGAACCGAGCACGGCCGGCCCCGCAGACAGGTAAAGACTGAGCACGGTGGAATGTAGGTAGGTACGTACTGAGCACGGCCGGCCCCGCAGACATGTGAAGACTGAGCACGGTGGAATGTGGATAGGTACGGACCGAGCACGGCACATCTGGCGGGCATCGACGCACGAGGCGCAGCCAGAGCTTCAGAAACAGGGGTACAGAGTTGACAAATGGCCCCTGAATGTGAAAGAGTTCCCTTAAAAAAGCGCGGGACATGGCCTTTTTATTAATGAGGGCATGTTTTAAAGGTATTTTTACATATATATTGAGCATGCACGTGCATGCTCAATGCATAAATCTATCAATGTATATGCCTTTTTTGTTGCTAAGATATGCGAGCGTGCACGCCCGCATATCCTAGCAAAAAAAAAACAAAAAAAACTCGACACCAGGCGTCCCCTTACTCCGCGTAGCGTCGGCCCTGCGGCTAAGACAAAGCCGTGGCAAACAGCTGAACGAAAACGATAACACATTTGAGAGAAGTACCTCTGAACACTTTTGGACACCAAATCACACATGTAGAGATATTCCGGTTGTATAATTCACCTGTGCGGTTTTGAATTTGATGGCAATAATGTACTGTTCTTCATGCCACCGCGAAGTGGTGCTGGCATCTGATGCTGAAACTGGAAGAGTATAGGTAAAAACTTAATGTTCCGCGTTGCTGTTATTGTTAACCTGGCCACAGGACAGCCTCACAGTTGTGAAAAAGATCCACCCAGTGCAATCCTTGAAATGTACAAATTAATTTTGAACACGTGCAGAAACATTATTTTACGATGGTCCTTGTTGCGTACACGCCCCCCCCCCCCCCCCTCACCCCAGGCGTTACTTCCAGTGGCCACCGCCGTTCGGTTTTACGAAAACTGTAGCCCAGGCCATCGCTATCCTTGTTCCCCGAGACTACGAGCATGTCATTGTGGCTTTATGACGCACTCAGCTGCTGGGGCTACATGGCGTTGCCAGCCTCTCACCCCGATGGGAGCGCCGAGCACCGTCGGGAAGCGAGCTCCATACCGGTGGCTTTTCAGACGCAGAGTGGCTAACACAGGCGCATTAACCACTGCACTATCGGCATTCGGTGCGCAGGCTCAAACATTTTGATGTGATTTGCTTCACTAGTTGATTCTGCAAAATAATGAGCGCTCTCAGGGAAACATGACATGGCCTTGTGGATTTAGACTCATTTTGACCCACTCCATTTAACACTAGACTCCTTATTTCCTACCGGCGAAGGCGCATTTTTGAGTAAAACACTACTGGGCACATTGTTGGAGGTCATTAGAGGGGTACATCGTATCACATTGGTCCGCCTCCTGACGCGGGAGGCCTTCTGGACCGGATAGTTGACCCCAGATCGACGCATGTACCGTCATTAACACAACAACATCCCTGCTCGCCGCAGGTTGTCAAATAATTGACTCACAGACTCCATTTGGACTTATGTTTCCCTCAGCTGTCGGAGAGCCCCGACCAACGCGAGAGATCCTCTGTTATTCGGGTTCCCGTCCCCGTCCCTGTTAAGCAAATTTTCCCCTGACCGATTCTAGGCCCCTTGTTGACCCAGAATGGCCTGTTAGGCACTGCAAGCTCCTGAACGGTACAGACCCCCGACCAACGTAAATCACGGACCCGGCGTTGTCCCTGCTCTGGAAATGGGCCCCCAGAGCTCAGACCAACACGGAGCCGACTGTTCGTTGTTCATGACCTCTGGCCGAAATAGAGGAACGCTCTGTACCCGGGGTCCCTATCGGTGCAGGATATCATCTTACAGACATTTGAGATCACAGCCCTTTGGGCTGTGACCTGGGCTGTGTGTCCTTAATGTGACCTACAGTCAGCCCTTCGGGCCCTTCAGCTATCCCATTGAACCCCCTTGATATTTGGTCTCGAGAAACTATCCGGCCTCTCTTCCATCCCCTCAACCACCGCTCCGACCCGGGGCCATTTGCCGCCGCAGGACCCCTGTTAGGGACTGTAGCCTCTGACCGATATAGGAGCCCCTCATTGTGCCAGGAACCCCGAACATTGTAACTCTAGGACCCCAGCCTTGTTTCTGCTTTGGAAATAGGCCACGAGGGCTCAGACGGACATGATGCTGGCTGTTCGGTGTTCGTGATCTCTGACCTGCTTAGACACCTGCATTGCCTCAAGGATGCCTGAAATGGTGCAAAAGGACGTCTGACTGATATTTCATGTCCCTATCCCAACTGACCACGATTCTTTATGTGACCTATATCCAGTCCTTCGGGCCTTTATGTCCTCCAACCAGGCATTTCGTCGTCTGCTTCGGTGTGCCGGCCGGGCCCCTCTTCGAGCCTCTTCGAATACTTCCCTTGGTCGGTTCGGGGCCCGAGCGAGCACAGGGCCCTCTGTTAGGTGCCGTGGGCCCCTGAAAAATGCAAGGCCCCCGACCAGTGTAAATAACCGGCCCCGGCTTTATAGCTGACTGGGAAGTGGGCCTTCGGGCCCATACCCACTTCTAGCCGACTGTGCAATACTGGTGGTATCTGACCGACATATAGGCCTATATTGACCCAGGGGGTCCTTGATCGGCGCCCTCTGACCTTTATTTGAGGGTCCGTCTTCGCATACCGGGGCCGCTGAATAAAACTCCGACCAGCCCTTCATGCCCGTAGACCCTCCAAGCGCAACCTTGATCGTCTGACCCGATGGGCCCTCTGGGCCTTTCGGGTCTCTTCGAACACTGCCTGTGGCCGACTCGGGGCCCCTTGAGAACACAGGGCCCAAGCAATGTAAATCGCCGACTCCTGCTTTGTCCCTGCTGGAAAAATGGACTCTCAGATCCCTTTTGCCACGAAGCCGACTGTGCGTTACTGGTGGTGTCTGACCGAAATATAAGCCCACATGACTCAGTGGGTCCCTGGCTATCACACAGTGCCCTCTAACTGGTATTGGAGTGCCCAGCCCTACGGGCCGGGGCCCCCGAATGAAACCTCTGGCCGGTTTTTCGGGCCCTTCGAACGCCCAAACCGGTCCCTTAATCGTAGGTTCCGAGAGATCCGAAGGGCCCCTCGGAACATAAGAGGGGGGGGGGGGGGGGCACGTGCCTCCTCTGCCCCCTGCATGCGTTACTACTGGCGCATCTAGAGCAAAATAATCAACAGCAGCAGATAGCAGACTCGCCACGCTCGGCGCTCACTCGCACCACTGGTGGCGGCATTACCACGTGGTACAAGGCCGGCTGAGATCGAAATGCATTGTAATAGCTTGCCGCTTAAGGTTGCCACGTAAAAACACCCTCATGCTTGTCACTAATCTTTACGCATCCTCCTCGCTGGTCATATGAATCTGCTACTTGCAGATTGTTCCCGAATGAGGACATCCTGAAAATCCTGCCGCCCGATTGTCAATAAATATCGTGTTCATGCGTTCACTTTTTAGCCTATTTAGTCCATTTCATTTTAATGGCTTTTCGCAGAGGCTTGCAAAGCAAATCATCACCATGTTCGTCGTAAAATTTTACGCAATCGGCATACTGGTCGTATCATCTTCCGCTTACGATCTTTCTTTATCTGTACGAAAATTTAAGTGTTCCGGCTGTCCTCGGCATTGCGTCCGGCGCCAAGCGGCCCTCTGCGCGTTTACGTTTTGGCACCAGTGACGTACTAACGTAAAGCGAAAATGAAGCGACAGCCACAGGAGGACTCCTCCCTGTTTCGCCTCCCTTGAACGGCCTTGGTGGGGAGGCCCCAGGGGGCGCGAGATGGTACCGCAGACATGTGACAGTATTTAGGTGGACTTACGGTATAAACAACATGTTTTTCCGAAGTAGTAGCTTCGAATTTACGTATCGTCCAGTTTTCAAGAGAGGCGCGCGATTGAAACCCACTCTTTTGACTACTGAAAAGGAAGTGACCGTCTCCTTCGGGAGCATACCGTTATGATATAGATAGAGATATGATTTTACATATACCGTGATGGGGAGGGGCTAGTGCCCTTTAGATGAATAGAAAATCACACCCCTGCCCACAATCTCAGAAGCATGGTTACACCCATGCATGCAAGTTGACCAGTGGAGACAGGATCATTCATATAACATATGTTCTATTGAAAGGCTTATTTTGTAACAAAATATTCACAATTTTGCTCCAGCAAAATTTGCCTCAGGCCTTTCCTGACCCTTGAGCCTTTTTGCTTTGGTGTATTGCGTTTTCCTAGTGTTACATGCCCTGGGCAAGTCATAAACCATCTGAAAGTTATTGTTTGGTCATCTTTTGCAGGAAGCATGGACCTGCAGAATCCAGACCACCACAGTTGGTGTCTGGTGTGGAGATGCAGAAACTGCCAAGCAAATGTGGAGCTGAATAAACACTGGGCAGCATGATCAAGATTTCCACTCATCACCCAAGGTATGCTTATGCCCTATATGCTACAGCTTAAAGATTAATGCTACAGGGTGAAGGGTTTAAGGAACTTGAGCTGACAGTGCAGTGATGAACTTATTTTGTTTTGCTCCTTGGTGACTGGGAGGTATCTTTGAAATCACTGCTTGCAGGAAGACTAGGTTGTTGCAAATCATGTAAGTCAACTTAAGAAAACAATGGAATGCTTTGTAAGGCATAATCATAACACGCTGATCACCATGCTGTTGTTTTTATCATGGTGACTGTTTGTACATGCCTTGGTGTAAACAGAGGACAATAGAGAATGGGGCTGTAATTTGCATGCTGTGTTTTTAAAAGGAGACTGAAATATCTGAAGGCAAAAATTGAATATGGAAAGCACAGGCTTCTTGCACAGACTTTAATAGCTTAAAGGATCAGTGGGAAACAAATTAATTTCCTCTTCATGTCCTTAGAGGTTTGTGTACATTTTCATAGTGGTTGATTGGTTGGGTATATTCTTTACAGTGTGGAAACCAAAGGACTTGTTAATGTGTCATATTTTCTGGAGAAATGAGCACCAGAAAGCTGTTGACCAAATACATCCTATGTTTTGCATCATTGAGTGGGGATGATAAAACTTGCAGAGGTGATTCACTAACATGGATTTGTTGCCTTGGCCATCCCTCAGACAATGGTCAGAGACCATGTACCTAATGCTGTGGAGAGCCATTTGTCAGTACAGAGCAGCAACATTCTGTGCAGCCTGCCTAGCCTAGCCTATCTTCACAGTCTGATTTGTATCCATGCTACTCAGTGCATGATGCTGCTTCTAAATCTCAGTTCTATGTTGAGAAACAGTTGATAGAACAAAAATGAAACAAATATCACTGGCTCCCAAAATGGGCATCATTTTGCGATGAAGGAAGAATGGTGGGGGGGGGGGGAGGAGGGAGGGGCATGTTCCCCACCAGGTGCATGTGGACATTCCTCGTGAATGCGTCCGACGCCCGACGACGACATAAGGGAGTGGTGAGAGTGGCTGCAGTCACGACTCACAGCATTGCAAGTGCTTGAGTCTGGTCTGGTCGACGTCCTGCATCCATGCCAATGCAGCATTTTAAACTAAAGTAGATACTCTGCTGGATAATTGTCCACGTCCTTGTGGTGAAAGCCTGATCATCTTGGCGCTTCTGACCTGTTCGAGTCCTTATCGTCTGTGGTGTTTCAGTCTGGCGACGGAGCCGGAGCCCTTACTGTTTGTCTAGTGTTCCGGTCAGCCGAGATTTCCGGCGCCGACTGGCTTTCCCTGCTTTGTCGGGAACAGGGACAAATGTCAACTGGCAACAACAGGAACAGGGTTAGCCAGCATAACACTATGCTCAGGTGTGGTTGCAAATCATGCCAAGATGGTTTTGTGTGTTTTCAGACCTTAAAGCTATACACCATAGGCTTCTTTGTGATGAGCAACATATCGGTCTTTGTTACGCACCGCTAGCTCAACTGGGGCCAAACAGATGTTGCCAGATTGAGAGGCTACGCTCGAAGGGAATGTTCCACATTTAAAGGTATCGAAGCAGGCATCATATGTGTTGAAACAAGCCCACTTATAACTTTTGGTGTACTTTTAAGTGGAAAGTATCGCGCTACACGTTATTACTTGGTTACGTAATCGTACCTTGTACAACACCGATTAATCACCAATTGACGGCTGTTAGATCTGGAGACCGTGTTCACGAATGCCAGTTGTAAACGACGTAATAACATTTTTCTTGCCCCTGATCGCCGCATGGCCAATGAAATGACAGGATTTGAATGCCGTTGCTATGACGTCATGGAGGCCTGGGTGACCTTGAAATAGTTTCCCGAAATAGTCTGCACCAAGACCATAGGCCATATACACCAGGTGGAGCCGTGCCGACAACGCATTTCTCAGCGAAGATCCCTACGTGACTTAGGCGGGGGGGGGGGGGGGGGGTATACCTTTCACGCCGGGACAGCCGCACGCGTAGAAACGGATATGATAGATCGCATGTATTAGGACAAAACGCGTTTGGTGGTTGGAATGGTTTGTAAGACCAAATTGAATATCAATGAATGAAAAACTTACTACGTGTGCCTAATTTTGAAGGTAATGCAAGAACCGAGGAGATAATATAGGACCCCGTGAGCGAGCTATGCGAGGACGATTCGGCGCGTCTTAGCCAAAAGAAGCGCTTGATGTGGGTATTTATTGATAGCTTCGGCAGCACCAGATGGATTCAGAACTGCACCCCCGGGTTACCCCTTTATTTTGTGCATCATAACCTCCGCCCTCCGAGGCACCTAACCCAAGCGAATCCATGGAACATCTGGGCCCCAGTTGGCATTTGGATTGGGCCCAGGTGGGCAGATCATCCGGCGGCACAAAATGATCGCATTGCTGTAACTTAGAACGGTGTACCGGAGCTAGTGCGGACGTTTCTCCCACCTCCCTGGCTGAGATATATTTGAGGAGCTGTCTGGTATAGCAGCGCAAGAAGCGTGTAAGGCGCCCCAAGCTCCCTTCCGACCCGGACCTGGCCAGGCACATTCGCGCGGTTCCATCCAACGAGAACAGTCAAGTCGATGCACATTGGGGCCTGGTCATTCATCAGAGCTAGGCCCTGACGGCTGGTAGTTTCGTGATGCAAAGGGTGTCGCTGGTTTGCTCCACTTTTGCCCAGCAAATATTGAATGAGACTTGCCCGATCCTAAAACCAGATGTAGTCTAAGAGCGCGTCACAATCCATGTTCATAAGGTTTTGGCGATTCCTATTCAATGCAGCGGATAAATCAACAACAGTGCTCTTCGTTTGACAACCGGCGTTAGTTACACGACTGCCGACCATGCAGTGTCATCTTGTTAACACAGAAGCGGGATAAGATGCACTTCAGCGGGTCCATGGTCTCCCCGGCCGGCTTCAGCACCCGGAGTGCCGCATGGATGATGCTAGAACGAGCTGGGACTTGAAAGCCGCGCATTCACCTTGATAACGTGCTGTTTGAAGGCGGGGACGGTCATGACATGCTGGACGAATGCATAGGTTTTCCGGCTGATGGAGCATGGTGCGACATCATTGGCGACACTCAATTCCTCATCGACTCTTGATCAGTCGATGGCGGCTGAGTTGTTTATTTGAGTGACTGCTTTGCTGCTGGCTGAAGATGCCCTCGGTCTGAACATGCTGCAAGTCCCGAGTACTCTGCAGGAGCTGGTACACCTGACGCAGTGGGCGAGTGATAGCTGAGGCCAGCTCAAATAATATCGATGCTGGGCATGCGACTTCATCTGCTGGAAGCCAGACGGGCTGGCTCGCGTCCCAGTGATAATTTTAGGCCTGATGATGACAATGTCCCGCAGTGAAAAACTCACAGCGCGGATGCCTGGCTGTTAGAGACCCGAACAGTGGGTACCTTTTTCCATCCGCCATATTCATTAGTTGTTAAATACCCAGTACATGCTCCAGAGGAGTAGCCAAGCCCTCTGCCTTTCAATGCGGACTCATCTGGGCGCGCTATTTTTATTAGAACTGAACTGGCACAGATTGAGTGCTCGAACGGTAGTATGAACAATTTTAAATTGAGCTAGCAGAGTACTCCAATTCGTGGGGTGTCGCAATGAAGTTTGCGCTGTGCTGACACGTAACTCCCAGTAAAATTTAAAGAGCATCCAGGCCTACTGAGCTGAAAAATAAGGCTAAATGGAAGCTGAACATGTATTGTGTTGCTGCCTCAACCAACACAAAAGGCTGTCCGATATTTGGGTCGCGTCACTGTCCCCGTTCGGCAAATATTCCCCTCACCGACTCGGGTTCCCTTATCGACGCAGGAACCGCGGTTTGGAACTGCGGGCCCCCGGCAAACATCCTCACAATTTCAGGGACCCCAGTCAGTGCAAATCGTGAACTCGTCGACCCTTTCAACCTTCCAATCGGGTCCTTGGTCTTTGGCCCCAAGGGGCCCTTCGGCCCTCCTTCGGGCCTCTTCAAACAAAGTCCGTGACGGACTCGGGGCCACTTGCCGACACAGCTCCCTGTTAGGCACCGTGGACCTATGACCGACCCGTGAGCCCGATCATTGTTTCAGGGACCCGAGCCAATGTAAAGCGCGGGCTCCGCCTTGCCCTTGCGTGGGAAATGGTCCCGCAGGTTTCGGACTGACACGGAGCCAGTTGTTCCGTGTTGGTGGTCTCTGGCCATCATAGACGCCTGTAATGTCTGGGGAGTCTTCACTCGGCATAAGAGGCCCTCCGTCTGAAATTTCAGGTTACAGCCCAAAGGACCGTGATCCTTTGTGTGACCTACAGCCAGTCCTTCGTGCCCTTATATCCTCTAATCGGCTTCTTGATCGTCGGTTTCTGGGAGCCCCGGGTCCGTCTTCGGGCCTCATTGAACACTGCTCTTGGTCGACTCGGGACCCCCTGCCAATAAGGGACCCTCTGGTAGGCGGTGTGGGCTCCTGATATATGCCCGGGCCCCAACCATTGTAAATTGCTACCCCCAGCTTGGTTTCTGCTCTGAAAGTGAGTCATTAGCCCATGCCGAGATAGAGCCGGCTGTACGGTGCTGGTTGTGCCAGATCGTCATATAGGTCTCTATCGGCTCAGGGTTCCCCCGAACAGCGCAAATGACCCTCTGACTCTCACCCGAGGGCCCGTCCCCGCAGGCGGCGCCCATGACAAAGACTCTGTCCAGTCCTTTATGCCCTTGGGCCGTCTAATCGCGTCCCTGATTGTCATCCCGGAGAGCCCTGCGGGACCTTCGGGACTTAAAGAGGTTGGAAGGGGAGAGGGGACCGTGTACTGTGCTTTCCTCTCTTCTGCGTGCACTACGGGTGCTACAATTGGTTCAATTTAGATATGGCGTGATATTGAGGGCATATAAATGATGAAAATGCGATTTTTTCAAACGTTTACGTTCCTGTCTTCCCTAAATACAAACCGCCAACCGGGAGCCCGGACATCAGCGGTTCTTGCGGGCAGCGGATTAGAAGGGCAGCCTCCCCGC